GCCTATTTCAAGTTCATCCAGACATGCATGGCGCCATAGAAAAGTCACGAGAGTACCGCCACCTTACTGGTCATGTAGTGCTCAAGGTAAAAAAGTATGGTTGCTGAATCATTCGTGTCTGACGTGTCAGCACGATTCGTGACATAAACGGACACCAGCTGGCCGACATCGAATGCAATGCGTTGAGTGCAAGTTTCGAACACGAATTGTGCTACGTAATGCAGGAATTTGGGCATTGGTGCATGTTAGGACGGAAAAAGACCGGAAACCAAATAAGTTAAGAACAGCGCCATAACCGAGTCTGTGGAAATGGCCAAAACACGAGTACGTAACAATATTCGGGTTCAGCAAACGCGCACTAGTAAATAATCTGCTATTTGGCAAGTTGATTTACTACAATTAAGTCGGCCTGGAGTCGACCTACAGTGGCAACTATGACAATCTTGGCCCATCTGGCAGCGACTCTGAGGTGATAAAGATATTCCATGGCGCAATCAAGCGATGATGTATTAAGGAAGATATCTACTAGAATAGCGAAACTTTTTCGTCTAGTCAACCAGACTAAACCAAAGCCAAACCAACAGTTACAAGTGCGCTAAATTGATTTTATCTGATGTTTTCTTCAGTGACTTCAAATGTAGAGCATTCGCTTTAATCCCGCGCCAGGACGATCACTCACCAGCTGCTGAAGTCAGAAACCATATTCAAATCAAGCACACACCATATATATATATATATATATATATATATCTCTCTCTCTCATCTCTCATCTTCATCAATCTCTCATCTCTCCTCTCTCTCATCTCTCTCCTCTCTCTCCTCTCTCTCTCTCTCCTCTCTCTCTCTCTATCTATCTATCTATCGATCTATATATATATATATATATATATATATATATATTGGCACGAGCACTAGCGAACTGTGCGACCGAGGTGGCTCAACCTGCCACTGTAGCGGGTGCTTGGTGATGTGACCTGCCACTGTAGCGGGTGCTGGGTGCTGCTCCTCTTAAGCAAATAGCTACAATGGTGTTGTCATGGGGGCCTTTGGGGCCATTCCCATTTCCCTGCACGTGGCGACGGTCCTCCCGGGGGCCGACTGCCTCGGCACTTTTTGCCAACTTAGGGCGTCCTATGGACTTTTAAAACAGCAGAGAACTTGTTCCAGGAATCAAAATAGGACCCGTTGTCTATGACCCTGAATAATAGCACTGTCCCAAATATATGAAGAGGAGTGGGCGTAAAATATTTTGGGACAATTGAAATGTCCTGGAATGTTTGTCCTGGACGACCGTGCACAAAGCAGTTTGAACTGCATTTATCTGGCCTTAAGCAACTAGCATGAACTATTGCTGAAGCATGTGTTGCCAGAAGAAAATCACTTGTGACTTTCCAAAATCTACAACGTTCTTACAAAACTCCCGAATTATTTTGAAACGGAATCACATCATCTGGATCGCCTTCCTGAAATCTGTCGATGTGAAAAGGCTCTATAAAAATATAACTACCTCCCGCACCGTCTTCCGTAAGCAATATTTACCTAAATGTTGTATGCACCCTCTTCTTTGCAGTTGAAGTAGAGTGGTGGCTACATGCTACAGGCAAATTTACAAAAGTTGCAAAGGTACAGGGTGTGTACAAAAACAGGCCAAATTATGTCAATAGCGCCCGTATGCCATAGGTGATCTTTTTACCCAGTGTGCGTCTAATTGTTGCCCGTCGGACTAAAACGGGTACGTTGCTCCGGGACTCACCTCGTTTGTCATTGTCATTGACACAGCAACAACGCGCAATATTCCTTCTACGTAGATCTCACCTGATCTGTCATTCCCTCACAGAACGCGTGGCAGCCCGTCCCGTGCCTTTCGTCTTCAGCCAACTTATATTTTTCATCAGATCGTAGGGTATACGCTATGACAGCTGATGGCATTATCACCAGACTGCCGCGTAAACAAGGGAGCTACGAAGTAATGCATTTTCCGGGCATGGCCTAGCACCAAATCAACGGCAGAAATTATGCAGCATGTACTGACCAAATCAGGCGTTCCATTACCTGATGCGGGGGCCGACAGGAACACAGACACTGACGGCTGTCATGAAAAAGCCTGTGCAATTAGATGCGTAGGTGACTCAGAAAGCTTCTGACAACAGGACCTGTTGTAAAGTAGGTTGTTTGAATATAATGGATGTGATAAAAACCCAACACTGGGGGCTTTTGATACAGTTTACACGGATTGAAATCACCTCATTGTACTCATGTTGCGCATCCTGAGCAATTTCTTCCTACCATGTTTGCTTAAAACAGCACTGAGACAATGCCCTTTTCAACGAACTGTGCTACTTAAATGCAATATATCGTTTTGTTTGGTATATTGATAAAACCGATGCAGGGCATGCAGACCTCTTAAAGAACACATATGAGCGTACCCGAGCTGAAAAGTCAAAGGCTTTTCACTCTATCGTATGTCCTATAATAATTGCAATCCTGCAATATTTGAAACTGTTACAATCGTCCTAATCCTACAATATTCAAGGCTACTTCTGGAGCTGTTGCATGGGTCAGTGGCAGCGATTTACAATATGGATAGCAAACAAGAGGGCAACATGGCTCCAATTTCACTGCTATGAGTTCGCGTATTGAAATGAAATGTACCGAAACATCGTTTACTCGGTTAAATATGTGTAAAGCCACACGTTTACGCGATTCAGATGCTTTTCCTTTGTCCTGAGTCCGCCTTTAGTGCTTGATTTAAGTACAAGGCTTTGTTTTTGACGTGCGGCGTATGGGTGGTGATAGCGCGGTGTTGGTGCTTTCCATCGTGTACATAATATGCATACATGGATGTAAAGAGCAACAGATGCCTTCACTAGCACAGCTGCTTCTGATAGAGCGCGGAAGTGGCATTATGTGAGTTACTCAAAGTTGGCATCTGGGGAAAAATATATATTTTTGGCCGAGAACTTACGCTAATGAAGGGGAAAAGTAGAAGTTCTTAGTTCTGAAAGAGGTCCACTGCCCTCAAACCCAAATGTCGTGAGAAGACGATCCATTAGTAGCTCCGCTTGACAATCGTAGCTCTGCGCGGCAATCCCAGCTGTAGTTTCATTTTGTCCTTAGCTGGTGAGCCGTTCAAAGCGTGACCAGGGTGTTTATATTTGTAATCGCATTATTGCAACGTTCTTGCCACATTTGTTGGCTCCAGTCAAATAGCCGACGTATTCTGGGCATACTAAACAATTCCAAACTATGCTAAAATCATGCATCGAAGGGATCATTAAATTTTCTTCCGGAATTTAGCCAAATAAATTATCGTGCTCCGTGTCCGTCTACAAATTCAGTTCAAGCATCTCGAACCTTGCAGGAGCTCCTTGTGAGGCATAAGCGTGTTGTTAATTATGGAGCATATCAAATAAGTAGATAATTTATCGTCGTTCATGCTGCAATCCGCACGTGCGGTCCAGCTTCAGACGGCTAAAAACCCTAGCCATTAGCTAGTATTTTCGGCGGTTCCTTATTTAACTTGCTCACTCCAAGAAGGCTCACAGCACGACAGACTTACCACAAAACAGCAGTCTGGCGCACAAGAACTTGGTCCGGAGGTCGCCGCTAATTGGATTGTCACGGCTTCTGCAGTTTCCACAATGCCGGTTTTGGCAACGCTGCTCCCGGTGGTGTATGGGAAGGCGTTGGAGGCTAATGATTTAAGTGAGAGGAAATTAGTGTGTTAATGATCCTGGTGGGGTGGAGATGAGGATGCTAATGATCCAACTGAGAGGGTAGCGGCATCACCGGTGGTCTGGGCGAGTGTTGGGCGATGACGTCAGGATGGTGTGGTAACTCCGATGTGGGGCGACGACGTCAGGATGGTGTGGTAACTCCCATGTGTTGCAGTGACGTCGATTGTCCTAGTTGCGAGTGGGGCTGAGCGAACCCTTCTTGTACTCTGACATCTCTGACTTAGTGAACTTAGTTCCGCCCGCCGACACAAGTTCTTGAACCTGATGTCTTTCGACTACCAGTAGTCGATTCGCGGGTTTTTAAAAACACAATCGGCAGGCCTTTGAAAGAAGCGCTGTGTCATTTGCGCTTGACACTCGCGTGTAAACTGTTGGATCAGGTGGGTGAGATTCCTGCGAACTTCCAATTTCACCGTCAATTCCAAACGTTCTTTCGAGAAGCGTGAAACAATAAAACATTCGACAAGCGAAAGAGGTAAAGAATGTGGGTTGAACAGGTCAGGATCCTGGCCGCCTCGTGTCGCGGCGACACGAGACGTAACTACCAATGGAGGAGGAAGCGGCCATTGACAGCGGCCAAAGTGTCGGTCACTGTGTGCTACTGTGTGCAAGCCATGGATCCGTCCGTTTTAGGCATTTTAAAGAATTTGTGTCAGATATCAACATCAGCAGCAGATGAATACGTCATACTATCGGAGAAGTGCAGGTGCATGTATCGGCTATATATATACAGACTTCGAAGCAGTGCAGCCCATAGGTGTGTCAGGAATTGACCGCGAGACGGACATGGCACCTTCGACACCGATCTCGAACACAAGAGGCCATTGTCTAAGTAGGCCAAAACTAACCAAAGCTGACTAACACCAACCAGTTGACCTCCACTAGTTGCATTATCATTGAGGCTACTTCATAACGTCTTGGACAAATCCTTTGGTTTTTATTTTCAAGATTGACTTGGCTCATTAGCCTAGTTTAGGACATCATCTACTCGATAAGAGCGGACAGTTCTCAGAGCTGTTACCGCTTCAATCGTCCTGCGCCGGGTGAGGTGTTTCGCCACGCATAGAATCGAAAGCGCGGCATTACAAAGAAGCTGAGTGAAAATAAGGCGAAGACATAAATTTACTGCATTGAAAGGAAAGCCCCAACAGTATGATTTCAGTGGCACCAGCTGCACAATGGTGACTACCAGGCTGCGTAATCAGGCCTGCTGTACACCAGACACTGACCACTGACCGCCGCTGCTCTCGCTGTGGCCGGCAGGAGCTGGAGGACGTCCAGGGTGACATCACCGGCATCGTGGCCGACAGCCTGCAGCAGGCGGCCGACCTCGTCACCAGCAAGGTGAGGTGACCGTGGCGTCGGCGGGGCCGGCGCCGACCGTCGCGACTACAGCCCACTTTCCCGTAACAATAGCAGTCGCTGCGGTCCCGGCAGAGCGCCACAGATTTAGCGCTTAGTCGAGCGACGTCCTCAAAGGAGGCGCGCGGAAAGGAGAGAGGGGGCAGAGATCGGGGAAAAATCGATTGGCAGCAGATGGCGAAGATAGAGGAGCTAGAACTGGACGGACGACAGAAAACACGACAGCCTTGGCTGTTATTTTAAAGTGGTCTCCTGGTTTCCATTTCATTACATCAGTTTTTCTGCGCTTTTCTGGTTCAACTCTTTCAAAGCATCATCTTTTGTCACAGCTGCTATTTTTAGCAGCTGAAGCCCATGATGGAAGTTCTTAAGCAACGCTCAGACTTGCGATCTTGAAAAACCTGGGCTGTACACGGGGTGGTACTGAAGGCGAAGTTAGAGGAAGAGATGTGGGGCTGCTGCTACACGCGAATGCAAGCGATGGGCGTTTAAACATAACCAAATGCTCGAAATGTAGCATATCAAAGCTGTTTTGAGCATACACTTAGTCTTTTCATTGGAACAATGGCGTTCCGATGCGTTTTTCAGGTTTAATCACAGAAGTACCCTATGACATTTATTTTCAAAACGGTCCCGCTATAAATGTGTTGCTGCGCGTGGTACGTTGTTAGGTTCTCCAACTATGAAGGACGGCAGTGCACCTCGTTTGGATGGCATGGCGCCTCTCATGTGCAAGCAAAAATTTAGTCTCACGGGGAGCCAATCCCCGATCGCCAGCATGTCCGCCTATCATTAATGAAGATCCAACTTGTTCCAATGAGGATCCAACTTGCTCCGTGTCTGCAGCAGTGTTCTCTGGAGGGATGTCACGTTCGTGATGAACTTTTACGTGGAACATGCAATGTTGATGATTGATTGGCATCCACATATGTCACGCCTACCTATTCCTGCAGCGCTTTGCCATATGCCTGCATGTGAAGATGCAGGGCGTGTGATTCTTATTTCGACCGTTAGAACATTTTCACACTTTCTGGGGCCTGATATATGCATATATATATATATATATATATATATATATATATATATATGTATATGTACACATATACATCCCCTGACTGCAGGTTTAACCACATGTTCATAAACAAAAAGCCAATCTACAAACTATACCCTGTATTAATGGTAAGGAGTTATCAAACCAGCTTTCTGCTAGGATATGCGCTTTGTGCAACATTGTAAGATGCCTACGATTCTACCTCACCACTCGATTAACTCGATTGGAAAATGCCACAATTTTGCATATGCTGCTTAGGAGCTGAAAGACTTTGGACCAAAAGACATCCAGATCTCAACGGACCAGTTCGGCAGCCCTTGAGGACTTTTGAAGGAGATCCTTGTGAAGGAGAAAATCACCAATCATGTTGGCAAAGGCGTGGGTCGATGCGCGCTGGTGGTCACGCACTCGTGCTCTAACGAACGACTCGCCAACTTGGAGGCGTCTTTAATGATTCATATCATACTTCAGCAAAAGGAACGGTGAAGGCATGAACCAACCGCACGGTGAAGACGAATGTACCAATCGCATCTAACTTCCTGGCCAGACACGGCCCATGGGTGCGCCAGGCCAAAAATCGGACAATTTTACCTTTTTCAAAACGCATTTCCAATATAATGCGTCTTTTAGTAAACCGAGAGGCATTGGGCCATGAAACTACACAAGCGTGCTGCTGTGTTTATTGCGACCTATGTCCACGCAAAACATTCGCGTTTTTCGACACTTTAGTCACAAATGTCACAACCGTTACGCATTGCAAAGTCCTCGATTTTGTCAATCAAAATTGCCAGCCCTGGCCAAGCTCGTCTCGGCCATTTTCCAAGCAATGCTTCGAGAATCACAGCACGAAATGTACACCAGTAGACCTCCGTCCGTATTGCCTGCAATGGACGCAGACTTTCTAATACTTCGGTCAAACCTTCGTGGGTTTTTCATAGTTTACACAGAAAGTGCAGTGGGATGTTTCAGCTCTTCGGTTCTTGGTTTTTGTGTGTTCCTTGGTTGTCTTTACACAGAATGCGCGGTGAGGCGTACAGTTTCTGGCATCGAATGCTCTGCCAATGTCCAAAGTCATGGTGATCTGTTAACCAAATGCTGTGCACAGATTCCCTAAAACGTGCAATGGCGTTTGCTTTGTAGTTGGTTTAGGTCGCTTCTCGGGATGCCTCTGAATACCAGGCATAGTTCCCGCGGAAGCCAGTATACCACATGGAGTGAAGGAGTGCTGTCATTGCGACTATTTCCACTATTGATCACCGTCTTTTCATATTGTGGTAAGTTACCACGGACACCAATTAGCTTATTCTTCATAACAAATGAACTGTGTTTAGAAGCATCATTGACACTCTTAAATTGATACACAATTAATAACTGAACAATTTATGAATAGCAAAAAGTTGCGCCAAAAGTGCTCCCCAAATCTCAAGATTTAGAGGCTTCCACGCAGCCTTAAAGTACACCTGAAACGGTTCTTGCTGCTGCTGAATCAGAATGCGCACAAGCTGCGTACAACAGTGGACTTTTCCGCCAGTGGTTTGGACCTGTAGCCGCACTCTGCCGCATCGGGAGACTGAATTTATGAGCTGTACGGCCTTCGCCAGTGGTTTGGAGTTGTAGCCACACTCTGCCGTATCGTGGACAGGATTTATCAGCTGTACGGCCTCCGCCAGTGGTTTGGAGTTGTAGCCGCACTCTGCCGTATCGGGAGACTGGATTTATGAGCTGTACGGCGTGACACAGCATTCTCTCGGGCCACTACACGGCCCACTGCGGGCACCCCTATTTGCGAGTCTGGTAAGAGTATGACTCCAGCGTCCAGCCCATCCGCACGCACCGCGCCAACAGCTGCGAGGCGTACATGCTGCTTTTTTTAGCTGGCCAGCCATTGACCTGGTGACGACCTGGACGCCATCAATCAAAGGTGTTTGAGATGGTTGTCCCACATAGTAGTCTTACATAGCTTGTATAAGTTGTTACACGCATCACACATAATACACAATACGTAAGAAATAAGTTGCTGAACATTTATGTTTCCCCAAATTTGTTGTTAGATTGTAAGCCATTCTGTCAGTTTTCTCACGCATTTTGACGGCAGTAAGTCAATGAAGTGGAGGTCAACTTGGAGTTCACCTCCGAAGATGTCAGGCCTATCATAACAAAGGTTTCGAAGTGATTTTATCAAAGATGTTCCACAGCTACTGGAGTTACGAGGATTTTCTCAGATTTTTCCGATGTCAGGCACGCCTAAATAAAGCTTCTGACATCCACACCCAAATAACACACGCGTTACATTTCATGATGAAAAGGGCCATTGTAAAATGTTATCAGCGTGATGGTTTTCTTTTCATCCCATTTTGAACAAGTGATCTAATAACGTAAGATGACCTCGGGTCACGAAACCTGTAAAGAAATATCATTTGAAAACAATGCAATTGCCATAGTCGAGGTCAATGGTCATGGCATGACACCAATCCGCTAACCAAAACAACAGTCGCAGTCTACTGATCCCGCGTTCTAGCGAGCACCATAACATCAGGATACATTTTCGCTCACCGTTGTTGACCCGAATGTGGTCAAGAAAGACATCGTAGCCCTTCTGCGAGGGGGCGACCCGTTGTAATTATGTTATACGTCATATCAGCCAAGTCTTGTCCCGTACCTGTGATGTAGCCGAAGTGCATGCGTGTGCCTCAGCTGTAAAGCAGCGCAATAGCTTCAAGTTCCGTGTTCTTGGCTGAGTTCTCACAGCTGGCATGCCTTTGGAATATGCGAAGTTGAAGTGAGGATTGCAATGATGGTAATATGTGAGCTGTGTTGGGTAGCCTGCGCCCGGCCGGCGAGAGGTTCACTTTCCCCATCGGTTTTTTCGAGCACAACCAAAAAACCAAAACGTTATAGCAGCTTTAAACTTGCACTACCCCTTAATCGATCAATTTGGCATCCCTTGTGAAATTTGGGTCTGCGAAAGTCCGTGACTAAGGTAAGGTCAAAGAGGTAAACTTCTAGAAAGGATTGGCCACGCACAACGTTTCAACTTCAGTTGCGTTTTCTCAAACTTGCTGTAGTATTAGAACATGGAGGTACGTACAATTTGTTAATTTCATTTTTTCAAAACAGGCGAGGTCGGTGACCTGAGGGAGTTCCCTTTTTGCTATTCGTTCGTAAGTAGTGCAAATTGTGACGCTCTTTGTGCACTTTTGGTGTTCGTATGTAAGGAAAAGAGTACTACCTCACATCGCAGCCATCATATGATCACACAACACTGTAAGGAAAAGAGTACTACCTCACATCGCAGCCATCATATGATCACACAACACTGTAAGGAAAAGAGTACTACCTCACATCGCAGCCATCATATGATCACACAACACTGTAAGGAAAAGAGTACTACCTCACATCGCAGCCACCATATGATCACACAACACTGTAAGGAAAAGAGTACTACCTCACATCGCAGCCATCATATGATCACACAACACTGTAAGGAAAAGAGTACTACCTCACATCGCAGCCATCATATGATCACACAACACTGTAAGGAAAGAGTACTACCTCACATCGCAGCCATCATATGATCACACAACACTGTAAGGAAAAGAGTACTACCTCACATCGCAGCCACCATATGATCACACAACACTGTAAGGAAAAGAGTACTACCTCACATCGCAGCCATCATATGATCACACAACACTGTAAGGAAAAGAGTACTACCTCACATCGCAGCCATCATATGATCACACAACACTGTAAGGAAAAGAGTACTACCTCACATCGCAGCCATCATATGATCACACAACACTGTAAGGAAAAGAGTACTACCTCACATCGCAGCCATCATATGATCACAGAGCACTTAAAATTAGCCTAGGTCATGACCTTTCTCTATGGATGGACACAATAGGCCAGATGAGGACATGCAAGATAATTTGAGGTCAGCTAAGGTCAGTCACCTGTGTTGTCAGTCACGGAGAGGCTAGATAAACGAGTGTGACCTTCGTGGTTGACTTTTTTATTTTGTTTGTAAAGCTGATGACATAACTTTATGTACCAACCTACCTGTACTTAATTTGTTACAAATGCAGTGATAAGCGTCGAGGGGACCATGTATAACTACTACAAGAGCTCTGCAATCTTAAGTACATGCGGATGTACAACACACTTTTTCTAACCACAGAGTAACATTGCGCTGGCCACTTATACCCAACTAGCACTTCATTTCTTTTTTTTGGATGACTCTAAATGTGACCTAAGTTGACCTTAGTTGACCTTTAGGTCAGTCTAAAATGCTACAGTTTTTGTATGGGACACTTTTGTCCTCCAGCTGCACCTAATAACATAAACATAATCAGCAGCAGTATGATTGGCTAGAAAGCCTTTCATTGCCGGCGCATTTGACTTATTTTTATAAACCGCTCGTGTAGTATTGACATCAGAGGTCTGACTGTAACAAAGGTCAAATAAATATTAAGACGTTTGTAAGGGGCGTCGTGAGGTGACCTGAGCTCATTCTGCGTCTCTTGATGGCCTCGACTTCGGATGAACTTGCACTTGCGGACTTTTGTCCGCCATGATGCTACTTCCCTGTGTAATGTCCACCAGCAATGTTTTGGACAGTCTGATGTCCTGACCCAACTTGACACGGTTCAGATCTTACATCATCTGTTATAATTTTCTGTAAGTTTGGTTTATGCTTTTGTAGGGCTGAGGGCTGGCTTTTAGTGGCTCTTTTGATCAAGCCCAATGTTACCTTGGCTTCAAATGACAATGACCTTAGACCATAAAGAATTGATAGCATGCATAATTTAACCACTTTCCAGAACCACTGAGAAAAATATGTGGTACTCATTACGCTCAGCATGCGTTGCGAGGCATCATTTTTCCGTATTTTCCGTGCAAAGCTTCGCGGACGATTTTAACGTCAGCCAGCTGATATGTTAGGAAGTGGATACTCGCAAGCTAGATGTGGAAATTTAAGCTGAATTGTATGTAGTTAAGTGCGTTGCCGAGCATTATTTTGCGTTGTAAAAGACGTGTTTGTTATCTTATCATCATTATAACGAAACAAGTGTGGCATGTCATCTGCGCTTTCGACGCACTCAGCTGCTGAGACTATGTGGCGCTGCCTGCCTCTCACCCAGGGCAGGGAACGTGGGTACCGCAGAGAGTTGAACCCCGTACCTCTGGTTTCTCAGACGCGCAATGATAAACGCATATGCGTTAACCAATACACTATCGGCACTTTCGTGATTCGGATATAGTATCATGAATTGCTGCTATATACGAATCATGTATTATATGTAAATCAATCATGTTATGTCATGAATTGATTCAAATATGGCAAATATCACAATAACATAATTGGTATATATTCTGTATATAGTTAAATTTCGGGAGTCAGATCACTGGGCCTCGGCGCCACCGCGCAGTGCGACACGGGAAGGCGTTGTTGAACGAAAGACGTAAAAGAAGTCAATGCAATGACGGCCACGGAATCATCATTTTGCAGATAATCTGCATCGTGTTGGTATGAGACTTGTTTCGTTGTTATGAGTATAAGATTACTAACACGGCTGAACTGAAACTAAATGAGCTGAAACCCAGTATGATGTCGCATCATCACCGTGTGCCGGCGGGAGGCAGTGCAGCGTTTGCACCACGCTTCTCCGTGCCGACCATGACCTCAGGCCAGTACATCGGTCGGCATACTGAGGCACTCGCAAGCATACCATAATGCCTGATCAGTGTGTGCTATACCCACATGGGATGTGGCAGATTAGAGTTTTCGCTGTCCCTCAAGCTCATTTGGGATGCAATTTCGATGTTTTTTATGTGGTAATGACGCTTTCATAATGGAACAAATCAAGGTTATGTAAAACATTATTGCTATCCCGATGCGTCACGCGCTGAACGAGATACGCTGCGTACGATTTCCGTTGTCTGCGCTGTACTGGCTGGATGTTCTGCGGGCAGTGCTAGTCACTACCCACGGCAGCCAGTTTCAGATGTTTGCAGAAGAAATCGTGTCAATCGGCGTGCGCGCGTCGTCTAGCGTCGTTTTCGCCCCGTGACGCCTGCTGTTCTGCGGGGCTTGTTGCCAACAATAGCGCAAGAAAACGTGGCTGTATTCCGGCCGGCCCCGGCCAGTCGGGCCCCGCGGGAGCTCGGTGCGCCTTCTGTTTGCGCCGTCTTTCCCGCGGTCGACTGCCGGAGTTGGCCGACTCCCTTTGTCGGCGACACGCTTCACCGAACATCTGCCCGAGCTGCACAGCCGTGGTGCTGTTGGGCGAGTGCTCGTGCGCGAGCTCGCGGTGGTGAAGTCGGACGGCCAAACTCGCACGGCGATGCCAGCAAAAAGACCAGTACGAAGGCGGATAAGGGGTATCTCACAATGCCGCGGTGAATCAGGGAAAGTAACTGGTGTATTTCATCGTTCCAGTGATACCAAAATTTGTTCAACGGTAAAGTACATACATCACTAAAATAAGATAAACCTACATATTGAAACAAGATGCAATTTTATACCTCGCAAACGTAGAAGCGTGGAAAAGTGAACATGAAAAGTGAATGATATTCATGAACGAATTGTCAAGACCCTATGATTATGTACTGGAAATGTCCTAAACGTAGATTTCGGTATATTACGAAAAGTCAGGGCAGCAAACTAACTTTCGAAGTCAATTATTGTCATGCGTTGCCATGAAGTTAATGCCACACTGATCATAGGTGGGAGTGACAACCGGCATTATTCCCATGTTTGGTACTAGGATTATGTGATGTCAGATACGAACTTTGCCACGCTCGACAAACAGCTGTTTTCACCACGAAGTGTTTCCGCTCACCGCACCAGATTTGACTTGAGGATAAACGATGATCTGTGCGTTGGAGTCGTTCATGTAATGCATCTGTCCTCACTGCACAACCATGTAAGGTAAATAAATTCGCATCGCTCTTACCATTTTACGTAGGCTCTGCTTTTAAGTTGTATTCATTCTTGATACAAGCGGGAAACGTGCGCTACAATCGGAGCCATGAAAATCAAACAGCATTTGCATTTTTCACATGACCGGTCTTCTAAAACATCCCCAAGAGCACTGTAGGCGGTTGGGATGTGGATAAGGGCTCGTTCAGATCAAGCTGCTGATAACGCGCTGTTTATCGTCACGCTGTAATGGATGCCGCTTCTAAAATAGGCCGGTGGTCTCTTAAGGAGCTAAGTGTTTCGCCACGATACGCGAAGTTCCAAACATGTCAGCGGAAAACGGATCGGTTCGGAGTTGGCCCGGCATCTATTTAACCTATTCTGTTTTGGGCTGTTTTCACAAACGGCTTACAAATTTGAGAACCGCTTCTTTTGTCATCGCGATGCGTGAAGTGAGCCCAGAATCAGATGACATGAAATTTAACAGAAGTGAGTTCCGATGTCCGTAGGCTTGCAGCATTCTTCAAAACTTGTGTCTGGTTGTGCAAACAGTGAATTTTTTTTGAAGCGTTTATTTGCGATCTATCAATGATATCTTCGGCTTATGTTTCAGCTTTTCGTTCTGAATGTGTTGTGAGACAACAGTATGTAGGTATAACCGGTGTCAATGATGAACTCAACAACCTTTAAGGCGCTATGAGACAAGTGTTTATCTGAGTGAGATCTGAAACTGATCTAATGGACTGCACGCAATTGTAAGATGGTGTGCATTTTTAACTGCGATCTCTGTACAACTTTTACTTTGTTCTCACCACGCACTGTCCCGCACACTTATGCCACAATGCAACATGACATAAAAATATCATTTTGCTGTCCGTTGCCGGAAAAACGAAGGAAGCAAGGACCATCAAGCGACATCACAATCGAAAGTAATCATTAGGTTGGCAGTGAGGCAGAGTCTCTGGCGGCAATCGGCCGTTCGATGGTGTGCTCTAAGGCCTGACGACACCGCGTACACTTCCACTTGGACAGACGGTCAAATGACGACGCGACAAGTACGAGGCTTCTGGTCACTGATGAGCTGACTAGTGTCATATACTTGCGAGCCAGTGTTTCACAGCCGATGGCGAGGAGTCGGATGATACAAGTCACAGTGACTGATTTTGGCTTCAGCGCGGTGACTTCGCCTCCTACCCTGCAGACGGTGGAGCGGAGCCGGCGGTATGAGTCGCTCTGCTCGCTGTGCCGTGGCGTCAGCGGGCGGGCCGACGTGACGTCACTGGTGCGTCACGCCGAGACACTGCCCGAATGGACGTCGGCCTCGGTCGGCCGGCCCGCCGTCGCAGCCTTTCTGCCGCCCAAGCCGCCGGCTGACCCGAAACTGGCAGCTACGCAGGTGAGCCATTGCTCAGCGACAAATCAGAGGGCAGATGGCAGCACCTGCGAGGTCGATTGGCGTACCGCAATGGTATAGGTGGCGCTAGGTGCATGCTGTTGGCAGCGCTCTCCGCCGCGTCTGTAGCTGCGGGATTATTTCATTAGCACGGGGGGTATTTGCCATGTACAGAGCGGAGCGGTCGTGTTGTCTGGCCCGATTCCAGGCGCGAGACGTCCGATTCGGTGTTCCTGGCGGGGAGTAAAAGGTCCCTATCGATCTCCTGATCTGGCTGAAGACGCTGACTCCCATGATTTAGGAGACACTGGATGCCTCGTGCTTAGCGGCGCGTCCCGTTTGGAGAGCTCAGGTTGATGAGCAAGCCAAACTTCGGTGGCGGAAGCTTGAGATTCTTGCGAGTTGCCAGGTCGCCTAGCGTATCGAGAACGAGTCGACATGGCTTGCAACGGCGGCGCACGGCGACTTCAGTTCACCTGGGGAGTCGCGGTCAGATGTTATGATAAGACTTCCGCCGGGTTGTCACTGCAAAGCAGGGCAACGCCGGTTATGAACGTCGACGCGTCCAACTGCGTGATTTTTATGCGTGTTAAAAGTATGATTATTTTTGAAGGAGATCATCAGGAGTCCCAGTTCTGCAGGACGTTACATTGTAATTGGCCAAACCACACGCAGTTGAGCATTTAATTTTTATGGCATTCATCTCCGCTGCTCATTTTATTTGTAAGGGATGTAGTCTTCTGTGTACATGCGCACAGAACCGTATAAAACGGAATGCTACTTTTTATGTTTCACCTTCACAAAAATCAGTCGTATCTTGACTGGTTTCATCCTGGACTGGTGAATTCATACATGTGTTATATCAGTGGTCCATGCGTTAATGTTCCATTGTGTGTATGCCCGAAACGCTGCTTTTTCGGACCAATTTCAGGTTGACGCGAATCTGAAGGCGTGCAAAAGTGATACAAGGTTTTGCAAATTCGAACGAAAGCCACAAATACCACGCCTGTTCGTCCGATTTTCATCCGTTGCATATCTGCTCCGCTAAGGCTGTAGCAAAGATGTTCCTTCTACTGAGATATCCTCAAGGCGTAGACGCTAGCACCCAAAGTACTGATACCATGGTACAACTACCATTTGAAATATCTGTACTGTCCAAAGCCATGCATGTAGACAACATGACCAGGATTTTTTCTCAGAGGTAGATACAAATAATCGTTTTAAAGCAGCTGATGTGGCGCTGGCCTAGGATCCCCGGCATTCATCAACTCCAGGCTACCTCGAAGGCCTAGATCAATACAGAGAGGCATCCTCACTATCCTTGAATAAAAATGAAACGTCAGCGCTATGGATTACCAGATCAAGTTCCAATCGACTGCTTTGGAGGGGTCACGCAGTTGAGCTTGCCACAGTCGGACTGGTCTGAATTATCCTACAGCCTCGCCAACACGAAGTTTTTATGTGTCCTGTGTTCATGAGACTGGATCACCATAAGCGGATAATAGCTTTGAATGTTGAATTTAAATTTTGCATGTTCGTTTAGCTATTTGAAACTTTTCAGTAAACGATCGCTTGGACCAGGCCACACGTTTAGTAAGTCTTGCTGCGTGCGTCTCAGCTCTACCATGTGATCGTGAAATTTCAAGTCAACGGCAAAATTTTGGTGCGGAAGTTTCACATACCTTGACTCTCGGCACGGTCTGTCTTACCCTCTAACATCGTCTGACCTTAACGGCTCGGTCGCCGCCACCGGTCGCAGTTCAATCAGACGGGGGCAAACTGCGAGCGCTTGAAGAGAACGCAACCTCACCCCATCATGGGGGAAAGGGGAATCTGCAGACGAACGCGCCAATCAGCTGAGCTACCGGGACACGGCGAACATTTCCTAGAATGAGCGGAACTCTGTGATTCTAAGAAGCGGCTTTTCTGTCCTAAGACATGCCAAAGGACGGAAGTTAACAAATTATAAACACAACATAAAGATATAACGGCTTTCGCATTTCGTTACAGTATAGTACTGCTATACTAATAAAAGCATAGTGACACTATGCTATAACCTAAAATACTGTTAAAATTGATAGCATCACCTTGGGTGTTTGCGCTCTGTACCTATAAACACGCCAGACGAGAAGGAAAGTCCGAACAATTATCCCATCCTTGGTGCGACTTTTTCTCTGAACGCGGGGCAGTGACGGAATCCGCAGATTCCCCCCGGTCAGTGCATGACTGATGACCTGTGCCGCAGGACGGGGCGGTGGCCGTGACCCAGCTACAGAACGAGCTTGTGCTGGACCGCCTGGCGTCGCTCTCGCTACGCACGCGGTACGGCGGCCTGCAGCGCGAGGCGGCCGAGCTCGACGCCAAGATCGGCCAGCTGAGAGACTGCGTCGACAGTCTGGTCCGCATGCAACAAAGGTCAGTCTGTCGCTCCAGTCTGGTCCGCATGCAACAAAGATCAGTCTGTCGCTCCAGTCTGGTCGGAATGCAGCAGAGGTCAGCCTGTCGCTCCAGTCTGGTCCGCATGCAGCAGAGGTCAGTCTGTCGCTCAGTCTGGTCCGCATGCAGCAGAGGTCAGCCTGTCGCTCAGTCTGGTCCGCATGCAGCAGAGGTCAGCCTGTCGCTCCAGTCTGGTCCGCATGCATCAGAGGTCGGCCTGTCGCTCCAGTCTGGTCCGCATGCAACAAAGGCCAGTTTGTCGCTCCAGTCTGGTTCGCATGCAGCAGAGGTCAGTCTGTCGCTCCAGTCTGGTCGGAATGCAGCAGAGGTCAGTTGTCGCTTCAGTCTGGTCCGCATGCAGCAGAGGCCAGTTGTCGCTCCAGTCTGGTCCGCATGCGCAGAGGTCAGCCTGTCGCTCCAGTCTGGTCCGCATGCATTAGAGGTCAGCCTGTCGCCTCAGTCTGGTCCGCATGCATCAGAGATCAGCCTGTCGCTTCAGTCTGGTCCGCATGCAACAAAGGTCAGTTTGTCTCTCCAGTCTGGTCGAATGCGGCAGAGGTCAGTCTGTCGCTCCGTCTGGTCCGCATGCGTCAGAGGTCAGCCTGCGCTCCAGTCTGGTCCTCATGCAGCAATGCCAGTTGTGTCGCTCCAGTCTGGTCGGAATGCGCAGAGGCCAGTCCGTCTCTCCAGCCTGCAAGTCTCGTCATGCGTGATTATCTTTAAAAATGAGGGGCGGCCTAATTCTGACAGACGCCTGGGTGCCGGCATTCGAACGTAGAACGGCGATTTATCCGATCTGAATGCTGGGATTATCCCTACCATTGTTCCTCGAGTGCAAGCACGGCAAGCACATCCACTATACGCACAAAGCTGTCAAGTGCGGTATGACAGCGCATTGTGTGCGACAAATAGGATGCAGAGCGACCATCGACGTTATTTAGCGTCCGATGGACGTGATTCCAATGTAGGAAACTCACGCACTTTGGGTCGGAGGTGCTGTTACCGATTACCAAGTCATCCAGGCAGCATCCAAGTGCTGAGGGGAATAGCGAAGGCTGATGGGGCTCTGTTGCCACCAGGACGTTTTGTAAAGCGACGACGACTAAACGCTTCATTGGTAGTCGACAGCGGCCTGTTTTTCTTACAGACAGCCGGAGAGAGAGAGAGAGAGAGAGGAGAGAGAGATGAGAGAGAGAGAGAGAGAGACGAGAGAGGAGAGAGAGAGAGAGAGAGAGAGAGAGAGAGGACGAGAGAGAGAGCGAGAGAGAGAGAGAGAGAGAGAGAGAGGAGAGAGAGAGGAGAGAGAGAGGAGAGAGAGAGAGAGGGAGAGAGAGAGAGAGAGAGAGAGAACATAACAAGGTTCATGCCCGCGTGATGCGGTTTATTATGGCACTAACGAAGTATGTAGAAACAGTTAGTACAGGAGGTAGTGATGAGCGGGCGCCGCCCACGGGTAGCGGCGCAGACAGCGGCACCGGCCACCACCCACTACACTGGCGGGCATGCTCACTGCCGGCTGACCATAGCAGGAATACCAAACATTTATCAACTTAACCGACGCATGTGAGCGCAGATTTTGGTATGCTCCATCCTTGCCAGCCATTCACAAGACCAGCCCTTTTGACCCATAGGCAGTGCTGTGATGCGACCTGTGATGTGAGTTGTGATGTGAGCCGTGATGTGAGCTGTGATGTGAGCTGTGGTATGAGCTGTGATGTGAGCTGTGATGTGAGCTGTGATGTGAGTGTGTGGTATGAGCTGTGATGTGAGCTGTGATGTGAGCTGGTGATGTAGCCGTGATGTGAGCTGTGATGTGAGCTGTGTTAGCTGTGATGTGAGCTGTGATTGAGCTGTGGTATTAGCTATGAGTGAGCTGTGATGTGAGCTGTGATGGAGCTGTGGTATTAGCCGTGATGTGAGCTGTGGTATTAGCCGTGGTGTGACCTGTGATGTGACCTGTGATGTGAGCTGTGATGTGAGCTGTGGTATTAGCCGTGATGTGAGCTGTTATGTGTGCGTTGTGATGTGAGCTGCACATTACCGGTGTTATCGTGAGTTCGGAAACAAATTTAATCAATGCAATTGAAAAGCAGTCAACAAGGCATCGATTCTGAGTTAAATTATTTGTAAGTATTCAACTAGTAAATTGATTCTTGGTTGTCACTTAAACAGTATGGACCTCACAATCATGGAGGCTAAATATTCTAGTCAAGTGTAGAGTAGCATCGCATAGATCGGACAGCTCGGTGTAAACTTGCACTACATTAGTACCATCGACAATAAGTGCAGAAGTACTTTTTTAATTTTTTTTTAAAGATTTGATCCGAACCCTTTGAATGGATGGATTTCAGGGATCAGAGCTCACGCTAAGCAGTGCTTGTTGTGTGAGCCCTGACCCCTACCATCCGATCGCGCAATTCCATGTCAACGGCAGAATTTTGTGGCGAAAGATTAACGTGCCGCAATGCTCGGCACGGTCCGTCCTGCCCTCTGACGTCAACTGACCTTTAGCGCGACCGCTGCCGCAGGCCGCAGGCCATACCTGTCAAGGGCAAATAGCGAGCGCCCTAAAGCGACTCGAACCCACCCCGCCACGGGTGGGTGCATCGGAAGGCAGGCGCTCTAACCAACCGAGCTACCGGGACGGACTTTGAGGGGTAGAACAAGATCAAGGCTATTGAAGTGGTGAGTTAATATTTTCAAGGGGCTTGCACGACAAACAGACCCACAACACTGCAAAGCAAACCGAAACAGGGGTAATTATTTCTTCTTGACCTCTATATGCAACGATGTCGTTCCCCTTAAACTGTCCTGACAAAACAGCGCGGACCATTAGTAGAAGTATGATCAATTTCGTCAAAAACCGCTCCACTCCACCTAGAGGCTTCTGGCTTATAGGCTTAGAGGCCCCGTACTGCCCTCTCCCCCTTCCCACTTGTTTGGCTTTGAAATAAAATTCAGCATGTAGGAAAAGAAAAAAGCGGTTAAAAACAATGTTGACGAAATGGCTGAATGGTCCATGTGGCTTGACATGGCTGGTAACCACGTTCAAGGTCCAAGGTTTTAGAGACGGCCATAACATGGCGGGAGAGACCGAAACAAGGGGAAGTCGCAGCCAAATGTGTCTAGGCAATCAAGCGGTAGGCAGTCAAGATTCATCAACACCAAGGCAGAAAGACCCAGGACAGCAAATGCGCGCCACAGCCGCTCCTGCTTCGGGACGGCCTTCATGGCCGGCTGGTAGGACAGGCCTGACCTGAAACTGCATCGCCCGGAAAAGCTCGTGGGTCGTCACAATGAGCCTCGACTCAGACACAATCAGAACCTTGTGCAAAATGACTCGCTTATTATTTTTTTCGTTTGCTTCAACACGTACCAGCACGCATTTTGGACGCACGAAGTTTTTTTCGTTATCCCGCGTCGTATTCGTGCAATGTGTCCGGGCGTGATCCAGCAAGTAATACATGCTAACGGTGAAAACTTATTTCTGATGTTCTCAACGTGCAATTCACAAATCGCATGTAGTGGATGTATGTTTCATGGGGCTTGACCTTAGTTGTTTACCCCTCCCCTAGATGTAAGGCGAACGAAAAACCGTCTCGAAACACAAGCAGCAAAAATGTATGTTATAAAATGTCTTTGTGTCCATGATCTTATAGAGGTCCGCGCCAATAGTGTAGTTTAATTCTTCACAATCTCACTAGGCGCATGTTTATGGGGGAATCGTGCATCTTCTCATATCTGCTTTGAAAACGAATAACTGACTATTGAACTAAACGCTATTATGGACTTAAACGTGTCTTTCAAGCTTCAATGTCGCATAAAACTTTTGACGCTTGACTGCATGCCAGAATTTGAAGAACGTTTAAATCCCATTCGTTATATTTTATGACCAGGGATCTACCGCGCCTTCTGACTACGTCTTGCCAGCGGTTGCGGGTTTATCCTTACGAAACCGGGTTTCTATTTCCTGCTCGGCTTTGGACACTCGAATCGATGGTAAGCTCGCGTGTTCCTTTGGGCATCGTTGAACACGCAGTAGGACAAGCCCTGGACTCACGGACTCCATCTTTGGTGCTTCGCTCCAGCCGTGGTATGCGAGATGGCTTTGGTCGCTGCGATTGATTACTGTCATGGGACGGCATATTTCAACCAACAAAATTATACGCCCCGTAGAATGCCACGACGTAAGGAGTTTATGGGCATTGTTATTAAGGTTCAAATAATTTGGTTTTAATATTGATTATTATTTTATTACCAGTATCTGGTATATATTGTATATTGCAATTAGCAGGTGAAAAGCGTTTCGCGGAGGCCTGAGCGGGCTAAAAAAAAAACGCCAGAATGATAGCCAAATGAAATCGGTAGGGTGCGGAGTTGAATGTTGCTCCGAAACATGCAAAAGTGTATATTTTCCTATTTTAAGATGGCTTCAATCTTAATGGACATGGCTATTGTCCAGTGGTCAAGCAAATGAATTTGGGTTTTCCACTACTTTCAAGCTCAGCAAATCACGAACACGTTAAAGTTAACCTATAGTCTGCTTCGTTTTCCACAGTAACACTATGGCCTGCTGCGATAAGGAAAATATTGCCCAATCGTGTTTACCTTCTATGGAACCAGTACTGCTGAAAACAAAATAGGTAATGCACGAACAAAATATGAAGCGCATTTGTGCATGCCTAACGGGGAAAACAATGTTTTTCCCGGTGCAACCTTTTAAGACATCAGCGAACTATTTCATGTCGAAAGGTGACAATGGTGCGTCAAGCAGACCTTCACACATGAGGTCACACATTTTTGTATACTCTGGTGGTGATGTCAGTGCGATGGAACTGTCGCCCGTTACGTGCAGAGAAGCATTTTGCCGGGTTTATGAATAAAGTGAGTACTGGCCGTGTTTTCTGAGTCAGCCTATATATATATATATATATATATATATATATATATATATATATATATATGTGTGTGTGTGTGTGTGTATGTACACTTATGTTTATTTATTTATCAGGGAGTGGTATGGGATCGCAACACAAAGCCCACACAAAGCAAAAAAAACAAATATCTAAGTTTCTGGCCTAGCTGGAAAAAAAACACGAATCCTGAAGTCAAACCCAAAGAACCAGAATGATTTGAAAATCTCCAAGTCTTGAATGACTTCAAGAAGTCGTACAGGCCATCGTCATCACAGAACGGATATCTGACCATGGAAAACAGTTTAGGCCATGCATCGCCCTGGACCTGCTCACTCACACTATGACAACAGGGTGGCCAACGTCTTCACTTTGTCATGTAGGCAATCAGAACACTAGGTTGAGTTTAAACGCATGTTTTCAGTTTAAACTGATGTTCTTACAAGTCCTTTTCACGCGAGTATCATAAGACAAAAGACCTAATACGGCATCCGATCTGAAACGCAGCAATAATGAGGCAAGGAGGAGTGAAGCCCAAGGGTTTACTGTAAGCACTATCAAAACAGCTGTACAATTATTCTTCGAACGGAGCACTTTTATATCTTTATCATGTATATTCTCTTCCTTGCACGTTTTTGGTGCTTGGTGATTTGGCTGCAAACGTAGAATAACCAGTTTATGCTTAACTATAAAACAATAAATGCTTTTGGAAAGGAGTTTACCTGTTGTGCTCTTATGCATTACTACAAATGATGGGCTTTTCACCTGTTTATTTTATTCCCTGTGTATTTCCAATTTGCTACCAAAATAGGTCTCATAATGCTCCCGCAACAAGGCAATATACTCATGCTAACATTTATGATGATCTGCTAACAACACATGATGTATTAACTAATGGCGAGCCCTGAACAATATATCACATAGCATGTCTTGCGGAGAGTGGAGAGAAAACATTTCACTTCCCCACAGTATAAAATTCATAGGCCTTATTTCAATCTGTCATAGCATAAAATGACACTACTCGTCGACAACTGTATATAAACAAAATATCTACCGTGCAATGGGTGTTTGTATGATGCACTGATGAACAATTCGTCACGACTCAGAGAACTCTTTATGGCACGTTCTCCAGGTGAGCCCCGTTTCGTAGCGAGCAGAGGTCTGCACGCCCGACCACCACACCGACAGCCTTGGCCCACGTGCCAGATGTGATATCGCGCGCTACCTGGCTGACGGTCCTCTTCCGGTCACCAAGGCCATTGGGGCTCTTGTTGTAGATACGGGAGCTCAGGAACGCCCATAGACGAAGATCTAGAAAGGTCAGATTAGGGGAGCGTGCTGGTCATGGATTGTCATGTTTTCCGGTTGATGAAGCGGGCTCCGAAGTGGTTTTCCAGCTAATCAAGGCTACCTTTGATGTATGCAGAGCCTTCCTGTCACGTTGGAACCAGCTGTTCTCCATTTCGCCCGCCTGTCTCGCTCCAGTCATCTTCAGATGCGCTCCAGCATGCCGCTGTACCCCTGCTTGTTGACCGCGGCCGTAGAGTCGTCCGCACATAGGAAGAACAACACAGTGAGGCCGCTCGAGCTCGGGACGCACAACGCTGCTCCCTTTGGCCTGCGCAGCGGGCTCTCCTGTACGGTGGCGGGTCGCCCTGAGCTCGAATCCGGCAGGTTCGGTGTTTGCTTCTCTATCCGCGTGGCAGTAGGTCTCGCCGCCGGACCAGACGCGGTCCACAAGCCCGGGATCGGCTTCAGACTTGGTGTTCAGCCAGATGGAAATGTCATCTTCCGCTCTTTGCCGGCTTCTGACAACTTCTGAGGGGTGAACATTTTGTAGGAGATAGGTGGTGGCCATTTTTCAGAGTTTTCTAAAAGGGTTGTTTGATTACTGCTGACATGTTAGGCGATCTTTCAGACGGACTTTGACGAGTCCGTAGTGATCACGGACTATGATTTTGCACCGCCATCTTCCGGTCTTGTTGGTTGAATCCCCCTCACCCGTCCCATGCTTTGCCTCAGCACAGACCCACCGCTCAGCCTCAAGCCAGCACAGACCCACCGCTCAGGTCAACAAGCCGGCACAGACTCCGCTCAGGCTCAGCTCAGAAGTCAGCACAGACCCACCGCTCAGACTCAGAGCCCGACGACGACGATCAGGCTCAGAAGCCAGCACAGACCCGCCGCTGAGGCCCAGAAGCCAGCATAGACCCTCCGCTCAGGTCCAGAAGCCAGCACAGAGCCGCCGCTCAGGCTCAAGAGACGCGGTTCACAAATTATTTTCTAATTTCCTGCAGGCGCAAGCTCACTTTTGCCAGCGGATTTTGAAGCGAAGTCTAGTGCCTTCGTGTCGCGTGGTTGGATCTAGTTGACCAATGTAATTAGACAACATTTGCCTTTTGTTCCGCGATGAGCAGCGCCATCGTGCCATGTGATCTGTGACTCATCAACTACAACTCCAGGCCACGTGCTATCGAAAGAAACAAAAAATGGTCGCTTGCGGGTCACAGCCCAGCTCAGCACAGCTCCGTCACACATGCCAGATCAGGACATGTTTTTTTCTAATCCTCGTGTTTTTGGGAAATTTAAAAATAATAATATATGAATATATATATATATATATATATATATATATATATATATATGCATAAACATATCCAGGCAGTCATAGGCTCACTATTAACCCTGACTGGGATTGTCTACGGTGGTGGCAGCGGCCACGCTAAAGGTCAGGTGATGTCAGAGGGCAGGACGGACCATGTTCAGCATTCGGCACGTTCAAGTTTCGCCCCACAACATTCTACCCTTGAACGAGAATTTCACGACTGAATTGAGAGGTCAGGGCTCATCTAACAAGCACTCTTTAGCAAGGATGGTAATCCCAGAGAATCGTCGAATCGAAGGATTCCGATTGTAATTGATAAAAAAACATTCGCAGTTAGAAGCGAGCTGGCCTATAACTTACCGAAAAGAACGAAGTGTTTGCTTCGATAAATGGAGCAAAAGCTGAAAGAACTTGCCGAATGTACATTTGCCCTTGCGTATAACAGAACTTCCGTCAATGAAAATGCACTACTTCTTACAACACACACACACCAGACACACAACACACACACACACACATAATATATATTATATATATATATATATATATATAGTATATATATATATACATATGTATATATATATATATATATATATATATATATTAAGGATGTTCAAACTTTTCAGAGCTACTTAAAGTCAGTCTGGTATTTTCAAATGTTTAAAAACTATGATACGCAAAAGTCCGGAGCGACAGTACTGTTTTGGGGGCCGCTGTTACTTAATGAAGTTGAAATGAAGCTGTTCAAAACTGCTTATGGATCTGCGACATACACCAAGTTGTGGGTCCAATTTCGACACCATGAGACCTTTGAAGTTTGCCTGGTTTCCTGATCACAAAATCTGATTTATCGGAGACGCTCAACAGATCGAGAGAGTTCTACGACGACCGCGAGCAAAGTTCTGCTACTCTGCGGAATGGCCCGTGTCTTGGCGCGGCTGGGGGTAGCGCGCCGCCGGGACCATCTTGATGATCGCTGGTGAGTGGCGCTTGTTGAAATAGATCGAGAACACCATGCAAGTCAGTTCCAATTCCTGACACCGTAGAAGATGCATTTAAAGATCCGCTAGAAGTGTTGGTTGGTGTAACCTACGAAGACGTCCTCATACTGAAAAAAACAGGAGATCGTTTTTTTTCTTCAGTCATAGAAGAAGACAGATGACGACGCGCGATATTTTAGGAGCAAAACACTGCTCAGGAAGAAGAATGGCTGAGGGCGAGTATTTCCGGCACCTGAGTGAGGAGATATGAGAAGACACAGAAAAGCGATCGGAAGGAATGCTAATGTGTGGTTTTCATGAAGTGGTGCCGATAGTCCCTCGTACTGACGACGACGATGACGACGATGAAACAATGGGGAGGATCTTGTTTACTCACATTTTCAGAATAGCTGTCAACTGGCCAGCGCCACTGCGTGATCGGATCACAAGCGTCAAAAAGGCTCAAAATGTGTCCCATTTAGCAACAACATAATCCTCATCTCGCCGTCGGCACGTGAGGTATTGCAAAGCCAAATCTGATAGCTTGAGAAAAAGATCGTCCGTCAGCTTGACAGGTGTGCTGTTGACACAGGAGGATGATGACGCACATATGTGATAGGAATGGCGTTGGTCGTTCTCCAATCCGGTCACCGGCGATGACATCGAACAACTGCTTGATGTTTCAAATCTTCAGGCAGAAGCCGTGATGCAGCTCTGGCTATCAGATTCATGTACGAGTGGTCGGATGATCGTATTTTTAATATTAATTTTTTACAGATTGTTTGAATGGGTGGCTTTAGGTTCAGACCACCTGCCAAGCATAGCTGTTTGTGTGTACCCCCGAACCCACCACCCAAGTGCCGTCCAGTCCACGGATAGTGTCGCCTCCGCCCCTTCGCCAAACAGAATGCGGAAGGTTTTTCGTTAGCGCGTTGCTTTGGTACAGCCACCCCGGGCCTGGGTTGACTCTCTGGGCTAGCTGCTAGCAGGACTTTCCACTTCAGTCGAGCCAAACAATGTACCCGCTCTGGGACCCCGTACCCAGCACCGCTTAATTACGAGGCCAGCATATTTTTCTCATAGAGCGGAGAGGGCAATCGTTGTTTGAATGTGCTCCTATACTACGGCTTTTAGTGCGAGAGAGGTGATCTTCGCGTCTGCCTGCTTCCTGAATGACGAGGGCCTGGGGAAGGGAATCGAAAAACGTCGCTGGCCTGTGTAATATCCTCGTGATCGTCCGAAGACGGTGCTTCCGGCGCCTCCACGACCGTCAGCTGGGTGAAACCGTCGTCTTTGGGCAGTGCCATAAGCAATAGAAACCGCATCGACTTCTCATTTCACTGAACTGCGGCGCAGGTGACGCATTGCTCGGGAAGGCTGTCCGAGCAGGCGGACCAGGCTGCAAGCTCGTAGAGGATCAACTTCAAGCGCTCCAACTGCGGGAGGAGCACCGTGAGCTCCGGAACCAGCCAACATTCGCTGGTGGCGTCGGCCAGATGGAGTTATCCTTTATTGGCTTCAGGTGGCACGTGTCTGGGCCCCGCTGGAAGCGAAAACCATACGTGTCCTGGAACCGTACATGTTCGTTGAGTGATTCAAGACTTCAGTTAAAGAAGAGGCTGGGCTTGAAAGCATCTACATTTCTGTCGTCAAGTTGTGCATCAAAATGGAAGTCCATTGTTTTCTCTGATGTGTCTTGCTCCACAGTGCAGAATTTGAGATCCATAAAAAGGAATGGTGAATACTAAGATTTTAATTGTCGCGATCAAAAATACCAGGGTCAAGAAGTCAGTCAAGTCTGTTGTCACTGACACCTTGTAGCTCTCGTGCTCTTCGACGACGCCATCATTCTTGACACCTCCAATGAACGCTGCCATGAATGAGCACGATGAGCGTGAAAGAGCAAAAGTGGCTCGCCTGAGCGGTCTGTTATGGATTCAAGCACCACTGGAACAAAGCAGCTTGGAAGATTGTTCATAGGTGTACGAGGAGCTCCATTCACTTGGCAGGGATGAAGTCTGAATTCCCTGAGAAGCATCCTGGAGTGATTTCAGATGATTTGTTCAAAGGGCCAGCTTCGTTCGTGAGCCACTTCAAAGTGATGAACAAACTGGCGGAGTGGAGAGAGACTCCCTTGGATGCATGGGTTGGTTTATAACTGCTGTCAAAGAACAGAAGCAGTATGGTCTGATGCAAGGTGTTCGTGGGGATCGGAAGTTGTTTCAGCGCGAGAAGTCAACGAATCTGTTTGTTGGCGGCACTTAGAAACAGGAGTGCACCTGGTTCTTTGATGCTCCTGTTCTCTGAAAATCCATTTTCGGTTCTGCTGAAGTTCCTCACGCTGAAACAACTTCCGATGGCCTCACGGGATTCACAAAAAAACCCAATTGGCACAGGTAAAGGAATGTGCTTAAATTCCCCTGTCGTTACACTCTTGCTTTAGTTACTTGTCATCTCTGGCGTTGGCGCAAACTGTCTTGTTTTGTGTTATGTTATTCATCGTGACTTAATTTCCACACCTAGGCGGTTTAGCACCGGAAGTGCTCTGACGTTCACAACGGACCGTCGGTCAGCACGGCAGCCACGCACGTCATCCAGCCTTCCTCCGCGCGCACAGCTGCTGCGGACGTCTGGCTCAGCGGCTGTGCCGCGCCGTTCCGGTCGTCCGGTGACCTCGCACCAGTCGCGCAGGGTGTCGCGATGGCCACGTGGTGCCCGGCACGCCCGATTGAGGACAGTTTACAGAGCAAAACCCAGTCTTGACTGCCAGAAGCCTGGAAGCCTCTGAACCTTGCTGCCTGTGCGGCAACAGGACGGCATGGCGGAGTGTCCAATTTAAATCAATCATCGAACTCGAACTGTTCAAGAACAAGGTGTACCCACAAACGGATGGCTGGCCGGCGTTGAAAGTCACGAATAAACACAAAAAACGCGCTGTTCTCGGTTGTCAAGCAAGAAACATTTCAGTAAACTACCAGTACACGTTTT